ATCTATAAGTGAAAAATACAACTCAGCTCATTATCTTTCCCTCTTTTTCCCACAAGATCTTCAGAGGTCATGTGACGCTCCTTAAATTTGGTCTGAAATTGATTATACTTGTAGTAACTGATTTCACTTTGCTAACTTAACTCATAGGTCATGGTTTTTGCCGGAACGGATGGTGCAGCTGTGACTTTAGAATGGGCAATGTCAAGTTTATTAAACAATCCTCATGTGTTGGAAAAAGCAAAGAAAGAAATAGACACACATATAGGGCAAGAACGATTAATAGATGAGCCAGACATCTCAAAGCTACCATACTTGCAAAACAGTGTCTCTGAAACTTCGTTTGCATCCTGCCGCACCATTGTTGTTCCTCATGAGGCTTCGAATGATTGCACCATTGCTGGATATATGTTTCCTCGTGGAACTATTGTGTTAATCAATGCTTGGGGAAACCATAGAGATCCCCACTTATGGAGTGATCCAACAAGTTTAAGCCAGAGAGGTTGAAAAAGAAGGAGAGGAGTAACAAGCTAATTCCATTTGGATTAGGAAGACGAGCTTGTCCTGGAGCAAGTTTAGCTCAACGAACAATAGGCATGACCTTGGGCATGTTGATTCAATGTTTTGAATGGAAACGGGTGAGTGAGGAAGAAATTGATATGACAGAAGGAGCAGGAGCCACCATGCCAAAAATTATTCCTCTAGAGGCCATGTGCAGAGCACGTCATCCAATTATTAACATGCTTTTTGTTAAAATTAATGTTGATCTAAGTTAAGGAATTGCATCCACTGGTGTGGAGTTGTGAGCGGGAGTTTCATACTATGAAAAGTGAATTTTTAGTCTTTTGGCACAATCTGTGGCAATCAGCGAACGAGAACATCCATCTTTATGTACACCAATAGTTCCCATTTAGTTCTCTTTTTCTTGGTTATTATAAATCATATTGCTTTGTTCGTGTTCGCCGCCAAGCATATACCACAAACGTACGGGTCGTTACAACAGTGAAGTTGACTAAAGTTATTCTTCCATGAGGATTAATGCAAAAAAACGGGGGTTAAAACTTGCCATCGAACCTTCATTGCGGTTGATATATATTAATTCATTGTTATTAAACTTACTAAAAAGAAATTCTTTAGACTATCGGTGTTTAACTCAATAATGAACTTAAAAATGAAACTTCTACTGTAAGAGTGTAGATTATTTCTCCCCATATTACTCTATAACAATTGATTATTTCCTCTTCAATAGATTTTTAATAAAAATATGTGTTAGTTTAAGATTAAGAGCACTTGAAAAAGCTCTCTCAAATTGGAATCATGTTTATATACTCTCATCAAATTGCACAATCTCTTAATACAACTAATAAATTCAATAGCAACAACCTTAGGGTGACAATGAAAGGTTAATAAAAACATCTCTATTTTACTAACAGAACTATCCATTCAATAAGTAAATTTAATTTCAAGTCAAGAATGATTTATTCAATTTCTACACCTAGATTATCTCTCTCAAGTATAACCAATCAATGACCAAATCAATTTAAATAGTGGCCAAAGACTTAGAAGCATTTATCACAAGACTAAATCAATCTAAATGTTGAGAAAATTTGCATAAATATTTGGCATTGTTGAGAATCAGGTGAATTGTCGGTGGCCAATGTGTTAGCATCAGCTCGTGATGACAGGTGATAGTACATATGCAGTCTGCACTACTTTCAGACAAAATCTACATTCAATAACGCAGAGGCAACGAAAACGACACACACTACAAGAAATAGACAAATTTTGCTTACTCTCAACCGCCAATCACCAAGTCGTCGAGCCAGGACAAGAATTGAGAGGAGAGCACTAAACAAATATAACTAATTTAAAGAACCCAAATAAATATCATATCGTCTTTCTAAGATATTTTCATATAACAATTTATTTTATATTTGAATATATAAATTAGGTAAATTAGTTTGGAGGAAAATAATAAATATGAGATAAAAAATGAAATAACATCTTATATTTAAGATTAAATCTAAATCTCACACTGGCTCATATATCAGTGACTGAAGTTAGCTGGAACTTTTGGGTCTTGAACGACATGTATCCTTAAGATTAATTGAAAGCATTAAGTGAGCTCAAATGCAAAGCCGCTCTATATATAATACCACACACACGTCTCCATGACTCAAATCCATTAAGTACTCAACAAAAGGGAACTACCTAAGAATAATGATCACCTTCTTGTTCTATTATTCCCTTCTTTCTCTTGCTTTCTTCTTTGCTCTCAAGCTCCTTCTTCAAAATAAGAAGTTCACAAACATCCCACCTGGCCCACCTTCTCTTCCCATACTCGGCAATCTTCACCAACTAGAAAAGCCACTCCATCAAGCCTTACACAGGATTTCTCAAAGTTATGGTGAAGTCTTTTCTCTTTGGTTTGGCTCTCGCCTCTTTGTCATTGTCTCATCGCAGTCCGCAGTCCAAGAATGCTTCACCAAAAACGACATCGTCCTGGCAAATCGCCCCCGGTTTCTCATCGGAGAGTATGTTGCCTACAACTGCACCACCTTAACGTTGGCTCCCTATGGCGACCATTGGCGCAACCTCCGCCGCGTCACAGCGCTTGAGGTGCTCTCGAACTACCGTCTCAACAAATTCTTGGAAATGCGAAGAGAGGAGGTGAAGCGGCTGGTTCAAAAGCTTGCTCAAGAATCAGTACACAAGGATCAATTCCTCAAAGTGGAGATGAAATCAAGATTTTCAGAGTTGACTTTCAACATTATAATGAGAATGATTTCTGGCAAAAGGTATTGGGGAGACGACAACGAGGTTGGGGATGTGGAAGAGGCCAGAAAGATTCGACAGATTATAAAGGAATTGGTGTCGCTAGGAGGGGCAAATAACAGCGCAGATTTCTTGCCCATACTTTGGTGGTTTGATTTTGGTCACTTGGAGAAGAAGCTCAAGGGTTTGGCCAAGAGAGCCGATGGGTTCTCTCAAGGACTCATTGATGAGCATCGACGCGCAAAGCAGAGAGCAAATACTATGATCGATCATCTCTTGAGTCTCCAAGAATCACAGCCTGAGTACTATACGGATCAGATTATTAAAGGCCTCATATTGGTAAGTGAAAGTAAAGAATGCTTTTACCTTTTTTATTGCACGCAGTTAGATATCTTTTGATTACATTTTATTAAGATGTGCTTGCATGCAACCTATGTTGAAGTTGATAACTTAAAAGTTTATGTCATATTAATAACCTCCTAACCTTTAACACCTTATAATGAATCTCCCTGAAATTTTGCATTCATGCATATAATTTCCATACCATTAACTTTATTTGTTATTTATTTGCAAATAACTAAAATTTATGGGTTTGTATGCATATAATTCCAAGTTTGAGAGGTTATATATGCATAAAAAAGCACTCATCTAGTCCTATTTAATGGGCAAAGAAAGAAGATATTTTTTGGTCCTCTTTATAGGGCACTAAGAATTTTTTTTATACAGATATATAATTTTATCTTTTATTTATTATTATATTACTTTATTTACATGAGGTATAATATATATTAAATAGGAACAAAGTTGAAAAGTTGTTGAATTTTAAATGAGTTAATAAAGGTTGGAGTTTTCTTTAGTCCATATGAAACATGTTGGAAGTAAATATTTATAAATAGGACAAGAAGAATAGAGTTTTCTTTGATTAGTTTGAAGTTATTTGCATAGACCTGATAGTTTAGGGGGATTTGTTATTAAGTTTCAAAGGTTAAACATGTTATTTGTACATTTTTAATTAATATATCTCGTGAAAGGTTTTTTTGGCCAGTACATATATTGTGAAAGGATTAAGTAAATAGGAAAAGGGAAATATCTATCGAGATAGACAGTGGGTGTGGGAGAGTATTTAATTCGATTTTGGAAATACAGATGGACCCCAGGATAAAAAGGGAATTGCATAACTGTACATTATGAGCAGTGCAAAACTCTACAACATTATGTCTTTGTACACACACACAAAAAAAGCCCAGATAGAAATCATCGCACAATTTGATATTGATCTCGCAGAACATGTACTTTTCTTTTTTTTTTATGGTCAAGCAGAACATGTACTTTAGATCACTTAGCTTTTAATTAAGAATTTGCCTTCTCCTTTTATTGCAGCATAGCGCAAAATATACTATATACATTAAAATCGTAATGTGACCACTTACTCAATTTACTCTAAAAGTTGATTATAAAATTTGTATTCCCTGATTTTGATTACTTTGTTAATTTTGACTTATAGGTCATGGTTTTTGCTGGAACGGATACTTCATCTGTGACTTTAGAATGGGCAATGTCAAGTTTATTAAACAATCCTCATGTGTTGGAAAAAGCAAAGAAAGAAATAGACACACATATAGGGCAAGAACGATTAATAGATGAGCCAGAAATCTCAAAACTTCCATACCTGCAAAACATTGTCTCTGAAACACTTCGATTGCATCCTGCCCTACCATTGTTGATTGCACATGAGGCTTCGAATGATTGCACCATTTCAGGATATAATGTTCCTCGTGGAACTATTGTGTTAATCAATGCTTGGGCTAACCATAGAGATCCCCAGTTATGGAGTGATCCAACGAGTTTTAAGCCAGAGAGGTTTGAGAAAGAAGGAGAAGCAAACAAGCTAATTACATTTGGGTTGGGAAGACGAGCTTGTCCTGGAGAAAGTTTAGCCCAACGAACAGTGAGCTTGACTTTGGGATTATTGATTCAATGCTTTGAATGGAAACGGGTAAGTGAGGAAGAAATTGACATGACAGAAGGAGCAGGAGCCACCATGCCAAAAGTTATTCCTTTAGAGGCCATGTGTAGAGCACGCCATCCAATCATTAACATGCTTCTTTCTTAAAAGGTTATCCAGGATAACCAAGTTGAGGAATTATGTATCCAAAGGCTTGGAATAGTAGGAGTTTCATGCTATATAAATGGTTCATTTTTAGTATTTGTTACAATCTATTGCAATAAGCGATGGGAATATCTACATGTACAAGAATAATTTCCTTCTAGTTCTGTTTTCTTTCTTTTTTTTTCCCTGCACAAACCACAGTAATATAGTATTAAAACTCAAGTTTGGAAGTACATAGAATTCAAGAAAGGAAGCAAAACAAAAATTAATGCAGCCCAAGATATGAGCAGACAGAACCAAGTCGAAATACAAAACCATGAACAAGGGTAGCACAGAAAAAGCAAAAGAAAGAGGACAATCCAAGCAACTCCGAGCCACCTGGAAAAGGTTAAGCAGGGATGGGGGTTTTGTAACCCAATCAAGAGAGCACATCCCTTCAAAAGCTGTGTAGGAGACATATCCCACAGGTGAATGAGTTAATCTAGGATTCCACTTGAAGCTACCTAGAGCATCAAAACACCGTTTGAAAGAGCATGGAATGCCTATTAAGTATCAGTTTTACTATTAGTCAGTAATCACAACATCAATCTCCATTGGCTCTCTCACCGCTTCTCACCTCTGATTTCTTCTCTCCGACCACCACCTCCATTTCATTCTCCATTAACCATTGTCACTTCCGGTCCGTTCTCATCTTCCATCTCTTGCTTCGGTAGCTGCGATGGCTTTGGAGGGTTTGTTCTTCGGTGAAGCTACAGACCATGCTATGTATGGCCAAAATCCCATTCATTGGTGGTGAAAGACGAAGCGATAGGTAGAGTTCCATGGACGGATAGTGTCACGTCCTAAAAATTTAAGGTAGACCAGCACTAGTACAAAATATTATATTCGTCGTCAATTAAAAATGCATTTCTGCTACTGCATAAGAGATATAGTAGAAATTGGAGTAGGAGAAAAAATAGATATTACGGTGTTAGGGAACTGACATCGATAAATGAATTCATTTAACTTGATAGTTATACTACCATTTATAATATCATGACTATTATATTATAATAACTTTAAGCATGTATATACCATTTATAATTCATACATATAAACATATTGTTGGCAAATATTTATATATATATATATATATATATAAGCATATTTCTTACCATCAAATTATTAAGCATTTATAAAATTTTCTGCAGAACCTTTACTATAAGTTGGACTTTCCCAAAAGTTATATGATAGCTTGTTGTTAAGCTTACAAAATTCATATTATTTCAACACATTTTTCTTTAGTTGTTATAATTTTTTGGTGAATTAATGCATACTTGGAAGTGCTTATGATGGGAAAATATGCATAGTTAATAATTGGGCTAAAGTTCTTAACAAACGAAAATATTGTTTGCTAGGAAGAATAAATGAATATAGTGCATCTATTTTCATCTTTTCTAGGACAAATATAAGGTGTCTATTTTTGTTTGTTTTAGCCGGAAGCCAAGAACAGACCAAAATAGGGTACTATATTTTCGTCTGTTCTAGCTGGGATAGACAAAAATATATATATTTTTAAAATAAATTGTGAATTTTTTATATTGGCAATTTTTATGTAACTTGCAGTTGTAAAAAACACGTGCAAAATCAAAATAGACAGCAGTCTAACAACAGTGACAGCCATTTAACATAACCAAATCATATGTCACTTTCCATCTAAATAATCCACAATTGTAAGAGTGAAAACAGTGATAACAAGTTTATATAACATCCTACAGTAACATCCTAATTAAGCATCCTAACACAAGAAAGTAGTTTAATTAATATAAAAAGCCGTAAAAATATTGTTATAACCATTATGGGATATTATTCATGCACTTATTGTGCTCCCAAAAGTATAATCTACTCCTATTTATTAAACTTTGTAATATGATCTGTCCTTAGTCTCGTAATACCGAATTAATGTCATTGCCATTTTCCTTAAACTCTAAGAATTTGTAAAAGCCATTTAATAATATAAAAAACCTTTTGCTACCTAAGTTGTAATAGTTTAAACTAACAGGAAAAGCTTGAGCTTAAAACCCCTCCCTTTTTTTATATAGATAATATAGTGATAAGTTCATATAGTAATCGAGTTTTGTCACTCAGGATTGTTTAATAGAGAAGACATTGTCCATTCTAAAGTCACAGTTGATGTATCCGTTCCAGCCAGAAGCATAACCTACAGGAAAAAATTAACAAAACAACATAAAAAATTAGACTTAATTTAGTGAATGCTCACACAATCAGGATTTTACAGTTACTACATTTTATTAATAATACGATGACTTTTGCGGCTGATATAAAGATTTGTAGCTTAGCAATTGTCCTTTGCTGGGAAAAAAAAAAGCTTCGAAATGGATCTACACTTCCAAAATCCAATCAAATCTTGAAATAATTCCTTTTCTTCATGTATTTAATCCTATCATAAGCAAAATAATATTTGAACAGCATTTAGATCCTATAATTTTTTTTTTCATTTTCACTGTTCTGTTAAGAAGTTATTGCAGCATTCTCGAATTCTTCCAGGTTTCAAGCACATCTCAAAGAAAAGAAACTAAAAGATATCACATTTGTTAGAATTAAGTAGTTAATTTAGTTTTCTTAATCTACTCAAATCAGTTAAGTAAATCTTACCTTAAGCATTGAATGAATATTTCTTACCCATATGAGGCCCTCAATAATCTGATCTCTATGGTACTCAGGTTGTGATTCTTGGAGACTCAGAAGATGATCGATCATAGAGTTTGCTTTGTGCTTTGCATTTCGATGCTCATCAATGAGCCCTTGCAGGGACCCGTCTATTCCCTTGGCCATACTCTTGAGCCTGCTTTCCAAGTGATCATAATCAAACCACCTCAATATGGGCAAGTAGTCTGCAGCGTTATTTGCCCCTGCTATTGGCACAAACTCATGCATAATCCCTTGAAATTTTCTTCCCTCTTCCACATCCCCAACCTCATTGTCGTCTGTCCAATACCTTTTCCCCAAAATCATTTTCATGAGAGCGTTGAAGCTTATCTCGGAGAATCTTGATTTCATCTCCACTTTGGTGAACTCTTTATGTGAGTCTCGAGCAAGCTTTTGCACCAGGCGCTTCATCTCGCGTCTCTTCGCATTTCCAAGAATGCGTTTAGACGGTGGCTCGAGAGCATCTCGACTACCGTAATGCGACGGAGGTTGCGCCAGTGGTCGCCATATGGAGCGAAGTCTATGATGGTGCAGTTGTAAGAAACATACTGTCCGGTAAGAAAGCGGGGCCGATTCGCCAGGACGATGTCGTTTTTGTTGAAGCATTCTTGGACTGCGGACGGCGACGAGACAACGACGACAAGACGAGAGCCAAACCAAAGAGAAATGATTTGGCCATAACGTTGAGAAATCCGGTGAGGGGCACGATGAAGTGGCTTTTTCAGTTGGTGGAGATTGGCGATAAAGGGAACAGAAGGTGGACCAGGTGGGATGTTTTTGAGCTTCTTATTTTGAAGGAAGAGCTTGGGAGTGAAGAAGAAAGCAAGAGAAAGAAGGAAATAATGGAATAAGAAGGAGCTCATGATTTTTCGATACCTTCTTTTGGGAAGTTTAGTGATAGGAACGGGTTTGGGTCAAAGAATACATGTGATATTTACGGCTGCTTGTGTCTCGTTTGAGCTTACGCAATACTAAGTATAACTAATTTGCAATATTTAAAAAATTAGTTCAATTAATTATTTATAATAAATTAGTATTATCTTTATCAAAATATCTTTATTAGTCATATGTAATAGAATGAAAACTTTGAATATGTGCAATCATTATGGGCATTACTTTGAAAAAATGAATGAATATAAAAAACAAAACAGATTGAAATCTTATATTTAGAATCAAATTAAATATTCAATTAGCTATTATATTTAAGATCGAAAGTAGTATCTAAGTAAATGCTTCCATTAATCTTAGATCTAAGGAATGTCCTACAAAAATCAGAAGTTCAAGTTACTTCATTTGATACACATATATATTATATATACTTTTTTCTTTTTAATACATGAACTAGTTAATTAATTTATAAATATAAAATAAAATTAATATGAATTAATTATTTGTAAATTTTATTTTTTTTATAATACTAGTTTAATCATCTTCATTGAAAACTCTACCTTTAATTGAAATTTTTTTTAATAGGTGTAATCAATAAGTAGAATTCATAAAAAAAATTACAAATTTAAGGCAAAATGAATTAAAATCTTATATTTACAATTAAAGTAAATTTTTTAACTAACTCATGTGTATTTAGGACATAGGATCGGGAGGAGTATGTGTTTATTATTGCTCCTTAGTTAAATTAAGGTTAAATTTACTAACAAGTTGTTGGTTGAGATGGTAAGGGATCTTATCCCGTAAGGAGAACACAAATTTGAATTGTGCTCATCACTCAATAAGCACTTTAGACCATCTAGATCTGATCTGGACAGTAGAGATTTAATATTTTTAATAAATTATTTTAAGTAAAAAATTATTTTTTAAGAAAATAATTAAGAGATTATCTTTATTTTAGATTCTATATCCACTAAGATAATTGTTTTAAAAAAATAAAACAAAAAATTTCATTTAACCTCTCACTAGATAATTAATATTAGTCAACTCTCAAAAAATTCTAAAATTTCATTGCACTCCCAAGGACCAAAATTTTATGATTGAAAAGATAAAAATACCCTTGTTTTATTTTGGAGTTGTTAATTTTCTTATATTTCTTACAAATCATTGAATTTTTGTTGTTTGAATTGTT